CCTTGATAGGAACCATCTTCCTAGGGCGCTCGCAGTCAACATCACCAGGGTCATCTCGTTTGATCTTATACCGCAATGCACCGCATACCGGGCATGCGTTCAAATCCTCGTACGCACCACGGTAGAGGACGCAATCATTAGGGGATGCATGTATCTTCTGCACCTCCAATCCTAAAGGGCATACAATCTTCTTTGCTGCATACGTACTGTCGGACAATTCATTATCCTTTGGAAGCTTCTTCTTCAATATTTTCAGTAGCTTCTCAAATTCTTTGTCAGGTACACCATTCTCTGCCTTCCGCTGCAGCAATTCCAGTGTGGTACCGAGATTTGTGTTGCCATCTTTGCAATTGGGGTACAAACCTTTTTTGTGATTCTCTAACATGCAATCGAACTTCAGCTTCTCCTTTACACTTTCACACAGTCTCTTTGCATCAACAATGACCCGGCGAAGATCATCATCGGGCACATCATCTGGTTCCTCTCGATCTTCAGCTTCCCCTGCTGCAGCATCACCGTATTTAGGGGGGCAGATAGTCGTCATCATCCTCTTCTACTTCGCTGTCTTCCATCATAACCGCTGTTTCTCCGTGCTTGGTCCAAACATTATAGTGTGACATGAAACCCTTATAAAGCAGGTGGCTATGAAGGATTTTTCGGTCAGAGTAAGACTTCGTATTCCCACATATAGGGCATGGACAACACATAAAACCATTCTGCTTGTTTGCCTCAGCCACTTCGGGAAAATTATGGACGCCCTTAATGTTCTCGGAGGTCCGTCTCTCACCGTACATCCATTGCTGGTTCATCTGCGTGTGTTATATATAATTAAGTGTGTCAAAAACCATTACAGAACATCAGAATACAGAAGTGACCAAATTAATAGAAGTTCATCATCACATTAAAACCTAAGTACATACATAGTTCTCATTGAACAACATATAGCTCTCCAGAGCATCTAATTAAACCATACATTGAAACTATCTAAAAAAATTCAATGCAACAACAAATGCGATCATAATCGCAACTAAGGTAACAGTTGATCCAACGGCATAATGATACCAAGCCCCAGTATGAATCGCATATTTTCTAATCTTTCTAATCTTCAAGAACATTGCATCCATCTTGATCTTGTGATCATTGACGACATCCGCAGCATGCAACTCCAATATCATATTCTCCTCCTCAATTTTTTTTCATTTTTTCCTTCAAATAATTATTTTCTTCTTCAATTAAATTTGACCTCTCGACAATAGGGTCGGTTGGAATTTCCGGTTCACATACCTCCTAGATAAAAAAATATATGTCACGTTGCTCGGCATAATTTTCATAAACACTAAATGAATCTAATAGTTATAGAAGATAATATATATACCACATCCGAATCATAGACAGGACGAGGGCCGACAGAGGCGCATACCAAAACCATCGCACTATATAATAACAAACAATAATAAGTAAGAAAATTACACAAGTATCTATCTAAATCATACAAGTAAGAACTTTTTTCTTTTAGAAAGAAGATAAGAACAAGAGGCTCACCACGGTGGTGCCGGCGACGAGATCAGCACGGGCGATCGACAACGGTGAGGACGGCGCCGGGACATGACGAACAACCTAACCTAGACAAATCTTGAGGAAAATGGAGCTTGGACAAGGATTTTCGAGAGGAGAAAGCTTAAGTGTGGCTCGAGCATTTCATCGAACACCTCATGTGCATAGGAGGTGAGCTAGAGCACAACACACCTCTCACCCACCTCTCTCAAAAAAACAGAGCACTCCACTGCTCTACTTACGGGCTAGGGGTATATATAGGCATGCCATTGGTCCCGGTTCGTGGCTGGAACCAGGAGTAAAGGGCAACCTTTGGTCCCGTTTCAAGCCACCAACCGGGACCAATGGTGGTGGTCCAGGAGCGAGGACCATTAGTCCCGGTTCGTGTCTCGAACCGGGACCAAAGGGGCCAGACGAACTGGGACCTATGCCCCACGAGGCCCAGCCGCCCCCCTGGCCTCACGAACCGGGACCTATGCACCCATGGCTCCCGGTTCGTGAGTGAACCGAGACTAATAGGCTTGCCCTGCTTGGACCAAAGTCCTGTTTTCTAATAGTGACTAACACGATAACTTATGTATAAATAGGATGGCAATGACCATATGGCAGATCTGATAACTTAGTTACAAACACCATGCTAACTTCTAGACGAGAGGAGGGGAGTTATTCAAAAGATACCACCAATAACTTTTGTGTAAAATCGCATGGTTAATATACGTACCGCAGACGTGATAACTTAGGTAGACACTAGGATAACTTTTTACCTGTGGAAAAAAAGTTGTTGAATGCAGACCCCCCATAACTTCTATATAAATAGGATGGTAATAGACACACCGCAGACCTGATAACTTCAGTACAAACACCGCGGTAACTTTTGAACAAGGGGAGGGAAGTTGTTCCAAACATAGCGCCGGTAACTAAAGTTAAATTTGCAAAGTAAAAACCTCATTTTTTGGGGGAATTTCACCTAAATTTGTAGGAAGTTCATGGTCACATTTTTGAAAGAGCAACGTCAGTTCTACGTACTAATTTACAAAAACTGTACCAGCTAGTTCAACCTGACGAGGATTAACCAAAGTTGTGGGGGTGGTTGCAATGCAAATTAACATGTGTATAGAGGTTTTTTCCAATATCACCCCTAAAAATTTGATCTGAAGTTATTTTTGTGCTACTAATGGAGAAATGAGAAGGCCTCAACATAAATCATGCAGCGCTGAAGAACAATACCCTGACTCCAATTTTAGATGAAGCCATAGCTGGCAAGCAAAACAAGAAATGATGACGCTTAAGCCTCAGTAGTCCTCCATGGACATTGTGTCCAGCGACTTGACCTAAACAATACGTCGTCACCACTCTCCATTGTGGCATGTGGAGTCCAGCACAGCTGATCATGGACACAAGGATTCGAGCATCAACTAGCGCTGCCATTTCGCCATCGTACTTGGAAAGTCCAGTGTCACAATGTGCATCCACATCTATGGAAGAATATTGAGGCATAAAAACGGATAGTAGGTACAACCATGTGATCTTGAGTATACATTCCTTGGTACGTATATACCAGTAGTGCTTGCCTGTCCCCGAGAAAGGGTAGCAAAAAACTTAACGTCTCATCCACACAGTACAAGTATGGATTATAATTAAAGTCCATTGTGGAACCCCGCAAAAAACAGAGAACATTATGACAACTACTATTGCCCACCAATAATGGCAACCACAAGTTCCTGTAGTGGACGCTCCTATTATTTGTGACATGATGCTTTGTCTCACAATGGTTTAGAAACATTATGATTAAATTTTCAAAGGTTATTTCGCAAAGTAGAAAAACCACTTTCTTGTTGTAGTTTCCATAAATATGCTGGAAGGTCACATTCACATTTCTGAAAGAGCCATGCCATTCCTACCAACTTATTTAGGAAAGTAGTACCACCTAGTACAATGTGATGAGGATTAACAAAAAATATGAAGGTGGTGGCAATGCAGATTAACTAGTGTAGGGAGTTTTATTTCCCTTATCGGTCCTGAAAAGAATGGATCTGACTAATCAAAATATAGCATGCCTTCCTTTTTCATTTGAACACACGTTTGTCGTTGCCATTTTTGTCCTCTTATCATCATCCACTGATGTAGGTAGCTCATTTCAAATTCAAATTTTGCCCATGTATAATTATTCTTTGTGTCCATGGACTGGTGAGTTCATCGAAATCTCGAATATTTCGTAAACTTGATTCCAATAAAAGAATTCAATGTGCAATTTGAAATGTGATTTTGTTTGGGAAGCGGGCATCAACTTAGGCCAGTTCTTATCACATGATCCTATTAATCACATACTTTCGTTTATTTACTAAATTTAATTTAACGTGGTGTTTTTTAATGTTCTCAAGAAGATAATATATGCATCGTGGACCTGATAACTACTTTGGTAACTTTGACCTGGAAAAAAGCTTGTTGAGAACATAACCCCGGCAACTACTTTGTAGATATGATTATAATATATGCATCATGGACCTGATAACTTAGGTACAAAAGCCACGGTAACTTTAACCCAAGGAAAAGAAAATATACCGGTAACCTATGTGTAAATAGCTTGGTAATATACACCGCCTAGACCTGATGACCTATGTACAAACATGTCGGTAACTTTTTGATGGGGGGACAGATTGTTGAAGAACACACCCCCTGATGACCTATGTACAAACATGCCGGTAACTTTTTGATGGAGGGAAAGGTTGTTGACAAACACACCCGGGTAATTGTTTTGTAAATATCATGGTAAAATACACATCATAGGCCTGATAACCATGTACAAACACCGTGGGTATGTTTTGGACGCGAGAGAGAGAGATCTTTAAAAAACAAAACCCCAGTGACTTCTCTCCATGTTAATATACACCATGGATGTATGGTAACTTACTTATCCCATGGGTAGGCTTTCAAAATAAGAAAGTCAAGGATGACATAGGCTTTTTTGTCATCTAGTGCATGTAAAAGAAGGTTGGAGAATCCACAAACGTTATAACTTATATAGCACACACATGGTAACTTTTTTGACCGACGAAAAGTCGACGGAACATGTCAGTATGAGATCTATTTTCAAAGCTCTCATCAAGACCGATTTGTTATGTGGAAACAACTTTTCGATGGACCGGGGGTTTGAGTAACAAAACATTTTAGATTTTTAAAATAGGGAAATCTAGGATGACATTAGTTTTTATGCGCCTCTAGTTCATTTGCACGTGGAAGAATGTTGGAGGATCATTTTTATGCCCTGGTAATTTTTATATAAACAAGATGGTAACTATAGCGTGGACATATTATGCAAAAATCTTTATATAATTTGACCACAGCAAGAGTACGGTCTTCCCTGCCTATATATACACAGCACACACTGCCCTGGCAGCTGGGAGTTAAGAGCATCTTACGAATTAGGTGTGATAAACCATAACATAATGAGCATCATAGTGACCAAGTCATCGCCGGTGGTTGTCGCAGGCCCATCGGAGCTGGGGACGGCAACCGGTGGCATCATCAACCTCTCCTCTTTCGACAAATGTTTCGCTCCTGTTCCTGTCGGGCTGCTTCTCATTTTCGAGCAGCCAATCAATGAGCCCATTGAGACAATCAAGAAGGCCCTGTCGCAGGCACTGGTGCTCTACCAACCTATGGCTGGCCGCCTCGTCACCGGACCTGACGACGAGCCGATCTACATCTTGTGCACGGGCGAGGGAGTCTTGTTCGTGGGCGCTTCGGCTAGCTGTGCGCTTGAACAATTCAGGACGTCCCCGCTGCTGCTTGGGGACCTCGCCGTCCGCTACCCTGCAGAGTACTGCCTTCCCGGTGACCCCATGCTGCTGATGCAGGTGACCGAGTTCGCCTGTGGCGGGTTCGTCGTGGGCGTGACGTGGAACCACGTCCTGGCCGACGCCGCGGGGATGGCGCAGTTCCTGCAGGCCGTCGGCGAGCTTGCCCGAGGGATGCCAGTGCTGTCCGTCCTTCCGGTCAGGTCCGAAGCCGACGGCATGCTCCTGGGCATCCCGCCGTCAGTCGTCACCGCGATGAGGTCTCAGATGCGCGTCGGAATGGAGGAAATGGCCGGCATCGACGTCACCATCTCATGGAGCCTGATCAGCTGCATCAAAGCCGAGTGTGGCGGCGACTGCACTGTGTTCGACGCCGTCGCGGCTGTTCTCTGGCAGTGCCGCACCCGCGCGGTTATCTCCGACCCCGACACGCCCGCGCCCCTTGTCTTCCCGTGGCTCGTACGTGCCAAACACGGCTACTACGGCAACTGCGTCATGGGGCAGCCGGTCCAGGCGCAGAGCGGCCTGGTGGCCAACAGCTACATCAAGGACCTGGTGAAGCTCATCAGGCTCGCCAAGGAGAAGACACCGGACATACTCACCAACGGCGGCGGAGGGGATCAACAGCAGCAGGTGGCAACCCCGAAGTACAACAAGCTTGTTGTGACGAGCTGGAGGAAGCTTGGGCTCAACGCGGTGGACTTTGGGCGCGGGGGGCCGCTGCGGGTGTTGCCGCCGCCGTCACCGGCAGAGCGGACGGCCATGAACATCTGCATCTTGTGTCCGCCATGCAAGGGGAAGGACGGCGTCAATATCGTGTCCCACTGCGTCAAGCCTGAGCACGCCGATGCCTTCCGACGGGAGTTGGCCGCCACCATGAACTTGCACCTGCTTGCACGTTTCTAGTGCATGCACATCTACCCGTACCACCATGCATGAAGAATAAATGCCGTCAAGGAGTTCACCACGCATATATTATAGTCAATATATACAAATCCAATATATAACCAATAAAATTGCACTTTGTCATATCTTTCTTTTAAGTTATGTAAGTTTTAATAAGATTTAAATAAACATTTGTATCCTTTCTTCTGACATCAAATATTTCAATCATTCTTATATTTACAAACTGGGGCAGCGCGTAAAGGATTGGATGGGGTACACACGGGACAATGATTTTATCCAGGTTCATGCCCTCATGGTGAGGTAACACCCTACATACTACATGTCGTCACTACTAGGAGAAACCCTACTAGCAGCGCTGGAAATACCTATACCAGTAGCGCCGGAGGCAGCGCTCCTACAAACACGCTACAGCTAGTTGTAGCAGTAGCGCTGGTCCAAGCAGCGCTACTGGTAAGTATGGTTGGTGGTACCGCAGCTTGGACCAGCGCTACTGCTAACTCTGTGTAGCGCTGTACGAAAGCAAACGCTGCTGCTAAATCAGCGCTGCCGCTAATCGCCTACCAGCGCTTCTACTAATATTCCTACTTTCACAAATTTATTTCCCCTCTACGTATTTGTGATGTATTTGTGCATGCTCTATACAGTAGTTTCATCATATCATAATAAACATACATTACTCTCATTATATCATACACATACAGTAGTCTCGTCATACCATCATCATCATCATCCAACATAAATATCATCACATCTCAAAAGTAGTGATACACAAGTCATGTCATGTCTCGAGTAAATGCAACTGCATGGTCATGGTACACAAACAAGTTTCACCATCTCTATCTAAACCATGATGTAGAAGAGAAGAGCCATCAGTATGAGCAAGAGCGCGGCTATGTAGTACTTCTTGAGGCACCAGTTTTGCTCCTCTCTTGCCGGAGCGTCCACCTCAAGTAACTATTTTTTGCTTCAGCTCTGTTGTCGAACCCTCTGTGGCTAGCGCCCGGGTACCTGTCCACCTGGGCCTGAGCGTCTGGACAATGGCCGTACACTCCTCCCAACGAATACGGCAAAGCAGTCCTTCGCCATGTCTGATCTATGTACATGCATCATCAGTTGATGAATTCAACGATAATATGCCACATAATGTACTTGATAAACACAAAGAGGCATAATTAGCAAAATACCAGCAACCTATAGTAAACATAAATAAGGAAGTTTCTCATACCCAAACTAATTAACTAGAGTGATCTATGCTCGTTCAGGATGACGGTTTAATTACAACACAGGTTTCGTCGTGCATAAATTCAAAGTTTTGCCATAGAAAGACAGTAGTGACACATTGTCATCGATAGTTAGTCCTCCATGTCGACGGTCCAATCTTCATAGTTAGGGAGGAAGCACCCGAACTTGTTGAAAGGCTTCAGGTCCAGACGCTGAGCGAGTAGCAGTGCTCGGACATCATCTCACGTGATTGGCCCATGGTAGAACATTCCTGTTAGTTCGAGGACCTCCTTCATGATCACTTGGGCAAGTTCACACTGTACATGATAAAACTCATCTACGATTCGATGATCCGGTGTCCTTCCTATGCTTATGGCCCAGTTGACAATCTCGGCATCGTTGGAAGTAGCTGACATGCGAAGGCGTTGATTATCCCTTCTGTACTCGAGCATGTGATGTATGAGGTAGAATCCATCAGCCTTACTGGTGTACGGTTGCTGGATGCAGCAGAAGTGATATCCGCGGATGACTTACATTGGATGATAAGGCAGAAGAATCGTTTCCTTGTCCTTATTAGCGATCATGAACTCGCCGATGTACTTGCTCGCATAGTCACCATGCTCTTTGCAGACTGCCAAGAAGCTCTCGTGCATATAGTACGGGTCCGTGATGCACATATATTTTATGTTCTCGCGCCTGATGATGTAGTTGAGATACATCGGATACATGTGGATGAACTAGAAATCCAGCTTGGTCATGTGGAACATATCATAGATGTAGTCAAATCACATAATGAACTTATCCACGAGCCATCTCTCGACGTACAACTTCCCACCCGGCACGTGAGCCGCGTAAAGCAGGTGTCCTTGTTTTTTCGAGATGAGAAGGCTTTTCTCTCTAGCGAGCACATCTTCATGAAGTCTCCGTAGACCATTGTCCTGTATGTGCTCTACCGCTTTCAGAGGTAGGATCGGGTGGCCGACAACATGGAAACGCTCTGCATCTTTGATTGGTATTCTTTCTACCTCCCAATGCTTCAGAAGTGGCTAGCTGTTTGAAGCAGCTCTGGCCCCTTTAGGGCCTTTCTTGTTCGGTCTCCTCCTTTGCTTCTTGGCGGGTGGTGATAGTGAGCCCACCATACCTTCCCTAACCACCACCCCTAGTGTCATCGGACTAATCAGAGGATGACCCTCGGGTTCTTGTTGCTGGGTAGAGGCAGCGTATGGAGGCGTCTCCTGTGAGGATCGCATGAAGAGAGACTTTTTGCAATCGGCCTTAGGACGTTCTGGCTCCGGCAAGTTAGGAAGCATCAACTCATCTCCATGCTCATAGCCCGAGTCATAGTCTTGAGCCATCAATCCTCCATCATCATAGGCAGTATTGAAATACTTGAGACGGTCATCATCCTCCCCCTCCATGACATCATCAACATTTTCTTCTTCGACTGGGGCGAGGTTATCTGACACTAATGGTGGTTCTCCCTTGCGTCGTCTGCTATCACCCGCCACGACAAGTGCAGGTAATTGGGTCGGTGGGGTAGTGTTCATACCTTCTTGAGGAGCCGTCGTTGGTGTCCTACCGGGCGCCTCGACACGAAGAAGAGTCTTCGGCCAAGGCAAGAACCAGCTCTTGCATGCGCCAATCTGTTTAGGGGTCTTATCGTCATCGACTGGTACTGAAGGAGGCAAATCCTCAAAGCCAGTTTTGACACTCGCCACGTTAAACTTGAAGACACCATGGGGCATCTATCGGTTGTGGAACATGTGGTCTTTCGGCTCCACGATCGTTGCCTTTCCCACACCCACCTTTTGGCCGTTGATGTCGTACAGTAGGGTGCACGGGGTTTCGTAGGCCTACGAAGACATGTCTACGATGTCAAACATCTGAAAGGCAACTGAAACGGAAGTAAGAACCATGCGAATCCAAGGTAGTACAAAAATGTTCAATTCTAAAACATGGCAGTGGCGGCGGTAGTGGCAAGGCAGTGGCGGCTGTGGCGGAGCAGGCACACACGGCCAAGGGCGCGCGAGTGCGTGCGGGCTAGCACATGGTGCGGCAGGGCTCGACCAGACGTGGCTTGGGGCCGCAGGACCAGGGCAAGGGGAGCACGGGCAGAGCGGTGGCAACCGCCGTGGGCTTTGGGCGCACGGGGCGATGGACCATACGACACAATTTTGAGAGGGGGAGAGCGGTAAACGGAAGGGGTCCTCACCGCGGTGCCGACGGCGAGGTCGAGGAGGCTGGGGAGGCTCGAGCGACGATGGATCGAAGCGACGTTGTACGGCGGTCGAGTTGGGGTAGAAGATGCAGGCGGCGGTGGTGGAATTCTCCGGCTTAGAACCCGTAGCGCAGGTGAAGAAGGATAGGGCGGCGGAGTTGCTGGTCGAGCTGGTGCAACTCGGGGTGGAGCCGGAGCGTGCAGACGACGATGGCACGGTGAGCTCCCTGCTCGGGAGCGAGCAGAGGAGGCGAGGGAGAGAGGGGGAGGGGGAGAACGAGTGAGCAAGGTGGAGGGGAGGAGCCCAAGGGGTCATTATGGGCGGCGTCCTTTTCTTTGAGGCAGCGATGGTCGGCGAGGTGGTCGGGTGGTGACCACCGGGCGCGGCGCACGGTCGGTTGAACAAGGAGGGAAGGCGAGAGACGACTGAGGGGGAATAGAGTGTTGTTGGGCCGGCTGGCTCGGGCGGGCTAAATCCCAGAGGGGGAACATGGGTTTTCCTTCTTCTTTTTTTTTCTATCCTTTTCTCTTTTCTTTTTCTTTTAACTTTTTTGTTTCTTTTTAGTTACACTTTTATTTTAGGTTTTGCAAATGTAAAACTTTTTCCATAAATAGATTTGCAAATTAACCCACTACCACACAAAGTTTGGCACATTAATAAATTAGTTCAAAGTTTTATATCTTTTAAAAGGCATTTAATAATTGCTTTAGGCCACTGTTTTAATTATTTTTGGGCAATGAAACACTTTACAAAAAATTGAATTCACCACCATAAATATCTCTGGATTATTTGTCACATTAAGAACATTTTAGTTTTACTGTTTGAAGAAATAATATTTGACTTGCATTTTTAAATTTGAATTTGAGTTTGGTTTGAGACAAAGTGAAGATTAACAACTTAATTATGATGACATGGCATCATTAGACATGAGATTAGTGTAGCAGGATAATGGGAGTGTTACATCATGTTGCTCCCTTCATCCCATTTGGTGTCACCTTTGTCGGCGTGCGTTCATGTTATGTTGGCTAACGGAGTGCCCCACCAAGAAGCCGTTGTAAAATTGTCATTGCCATCGTATTCCGTAAAAAACATAAACATATGTCTTTTGCCTGCATGGCCTTCGGTGGTTGGATTTATCTCCGGTTGCCTACAGACAGAGCCCCGTTAGTGTATAACGGTTATGTCGGTACTTTCCCTTCGTGTATACCATAGCGACCATGTATACATTATTTTCAACAGATAAAGCCACCATGTCGTGCTCGTGATGATGCCTGATGACCCACAAGTATAGTTGATCAATCGTAGTCTTTTGATAAGTATGAATGTTGAAGCCAATGAGAAGCAGAAGGAATCAATAAGCAGGTTTCAGCAAAGTATTCTCTGCAGGTGCTGTAAAACGGTTCTGACAGATAATTTGATACTGATATAATTTGTAACAAGTAACAAATAACCAAAGTAGCAAGGTGTAGCGAAGTGGCAGAATCATTTTTGTTGCAAAGGATAATCTGTAAGTACTTCTTATAGTGATTAAAACATTGTCGAGGACGCATAGGAATTTCG